AACATTGGCGCCAGAGAGCCTCTCATCCTTCTGCAATGCCATAATGCAATGTGGAATAACACATAGAGAGACACCAATATTAAGCTACTGTGGATGCAAATGTGCAAGTACAAAGGCGTTATTCATGGGGAACCACAGGAATCTGAAAATTCAATTTACAAAACACTAAAACGCTGTCTTTCCAGAAACAATGTCAAGTATACTCTGGAAAATCCAAACCATTTGGATGGTCTCAAAATATAAAATAAGTGTTTTATTTTTTTCAGATCAGCCATTGGAAAGCAAGATTTTTTTAAGGTTTATTTTTGGGCTTTGTATGCTTTTATTTAGTGATAGGACAGTGGAAAGACTCAGAAATCAGGGAGAGAGAGCGGGGTAGACACAGGCTGGATTCAAATCCGGCCCACTCGCTTTGAAGACTATAGCCTCTGTACATAAGACCCGTGCACTAACCACTAGGATACTGGTACCTCATAATAGACTGATAAATTAACATGAATACATTTATCACTTTGGAATCTTGATTTATTTTATTTCATTAGTTTGGCTCAATAAGCCTTTAAATCTCATCCTTTAGCCCAATGCAATACAACTGATACAATTTAAACTGGATTATTTTAAGTGAGCATTTTTTCTTACATTTGCTCTAAATAGCAAATACGCTTGAACATTTAGGACAACACACAAGAACTGTGAGGAAGATGAAGGGTGCTTTACCTCTGGAGCAGCGATGTTGAGTGCAGGATTAGCTAATTCAAACCTCTCCTGAGATTTCTCTCTGGCCAGACGGGCCGCCTCTTTCACCTCCTTAAACTGCTCCGCAAACTGCACAAGGACAGACAAAGTCAATCTCTGTCTGACAAGAAAAGTCTAAAAATTCAACACAACATACATAATGTACATAGCACTTGTGTTCAATGCAGCTTCATTCATTGGTAACAAGAATATTGGTTGATTTATACTGCATTGTCCAACTTCTGTGACCTTGGACTCTTCTTAGATCTCAATCTGCATGTTTTCCTACAATCAGTCTTGTCAGCGTCTTACAGACAGTGAAAAAAAGAATGTTGGCAGACTCGTGTTCTGCAAAGGTCATGTTTTCTGCCAGCTTAAAATGAAAATCTTGGAGAAGTGAAAAACAATCTGCATTAAATTGTGTTTGAAAATGCTTGCTGGAGATGTTTTTTTGTTGAAATTTAAACCAGCAGCAAATGATATCGACAGAATCAGGATTAAAGTGTAACTAAGAATTTAAAATGGAGCAGACAGGGACATCAGTGTAGTTGCCCACATGCATCCTTTTCTCTATGCCCTCTACGGAAAAATATCTAATGTTTGAAAGACGCTTTGAATAACTCTGTTTAAAGGTTGCTGAAGTGTGTGTGTGTGTCTACTTGTGTGTTGGTCACCTGCTGCAGCTGCTGTTCCGTGGAGAAGCCCAGCCCGTAGACGGTGTTGGCCCGGCTGTCGGCCCACTGCCCAAACTTCTGGGAGGTTTTAGTGAACGTCATGTTGGGGGTGATGGTGCTGTTGATGATGGCCTGACAACACAAAGTACAAAAGAAGAAATGAATACATACATTTCAAAACTGGATACATTTCCACAACAGCAAAAAGGAACTTTGTAACAAAAACAACATGATTCTACAAGAAATAGAAGATTTTATAAAAGCAGAGAGGGAACAGAGATCAACACGTGTTGATTATGGATACTCATTCTTAAATAAATCTGAGATACAGAGAGGAGGGAAACATTCTGGATTTGTTTAATTTGTTTGTATGATTATATTCTTGCCAGCGAGAAGATGTTTTATTTCTATGTACCGTAGTTATTTTTAATGCTTGTAACTGATGGCATGGCGTAGGTGTCGGATCAAACAGCTGTGCAGAAATTTTCCAAAGCAAAGATTCCAAATGGTTGATACATTTGACTTAAAAAAACACAGCAGGCTGATTTTTTTTTATTTAAACACTACTTACACAGTTCAGGACAAGATCAGTAAAGAGATAAGAGGTACAGCTTCGTCTGTGCTGGTTAGCAAAACCTCAACACAAGTTCCTCACAGGAGCTTTGAATTCAACCCGACTAGATGACTGGATCACGTGTCACTTGTACTTAACATGTTGTTTAAAATGATATACATACTGTATGTAAAATGATAATAGCGAAAACATATTGCCATTTCATCTACAATAGGTCTTGATCATGTGTGTTTCTAAACTAAAAAGTATTTAATTAAGACTGCTATTAAATTCAATTCTATCTTAACAAGGTGGGTGCTACAGTTGCATGCTTCAGAGAAATTCATTTAATGATACACGTTTAAAGGCTGTATTCAAAGGAAGGTCACTTTCTAGGAGAAGGAAATCACAATTTCATGAACTGACAGAAGTACAAGAATTATTTCTGTCACCTTTAAATGCTAAACTCATTTCAGTGCACTGTTCAAATTAATTTGTATCATTTACTTGACCACCAGCAGATTTTCATCTGATTATCACCTGGGCAGCAGAGTGCTTTCTTTCTCTTTCATAAGAAATAATGTATTACATAGCAGCAGTTAACGCAGTCTTCAGATTGTGAAGCTTCTACAGATGTCTCCTGGAGAACTGGGCATGTTAAAAAAAAAGAAAAACAACCCACCACAGAAAGAGCTAAATGAAAATTAAAAAGCTTGCAGTGCTGTGCAATCACCGGTTCAGTACCTCTCTCCAGTGAACGGTCTGATTAGGTGGATTTGTTGCCAAAAGTGGAGTTCTTTGGTCTCTTCTCCAAAAGCGTCAAGTCTCACGGCGCTTGATTGGCTGAATTGGCTGATAACTACAAAGTGCAGCTTTCTCTCTGAGTTTGGTGCTAACAAGATCTGCTGTTAGTGTTTGCATTCCCAGGTGCTTCACTGTTGATTTGGATGCTGCACTGCCGATGTGAGCGCATTTATTAATATTCTGCTGACAATTTATGAAACTTTGACTAATGAATCCCGCCCCATGACAGCCACAAGCGAACAGAGAACAGATGTATTTCTCCTTTATCTGAAGAGGATTGGGCTATAAACTGAGAGTCAGGGAGGGGGGTTGATTTATACACAAATAATGCTAACACCATATGAGGACAATAATATATAATGACCGCAGTGCAACAAGGTACATTATGGTACTCCAGTAGTTCATGGTTTGATTTGATGATATTAGATTTTTCCTGCATTCAACTTGCATCTGGCTGTATTTCACAGACATTCAATAAATCAAGAGGGCTTCTTTTTTTTTTTTAAAGTAACTCATAGAATGATTTATTGGTAAACCATTTAACATTTCACATCTTAAAAAAGAATATGAGCAGATTTACTGCTTGATGTGTTTCAGCCCGACCATGATACCAGAGAAAAGTTCATCCTGCGGCTACAACACTTGAACAACTGAACCCACGCTTGGTTAAAAAAAAAATAAACACTTGCAAACCACAACCTCTAAAACTAACTCTCCCTTTCTGTGACCGTTTTCATGTATTGTTTCTGGTAATAAAATTCACACACAAAGCCTCTGACTTGCACATCCTCTTCATATCAACGTTGTTCAATAGTGGACGGGCAGGGCATGGTGAACGTCTGAAAAGGGTTTTTGTGTGATGGTAAAAAATGTGAATAGTATTATGTACATGTTTCAGTGTATTTAGAAAAGTATTGTGATTGGCTCCCACCTTCGTCCCACCCACGCTGATGATGCGGTACACACTCCTGCTGGCATCATAGAAGAAGGAAACGGTGACGGCATGTTTGCTGGCCGGCAGCCAGTTGCGTTTGGTGGCCGGGTCGATCTGGAAGACATGAGCTCTGGCACTGAAGATGGGCTGCTCCCTTAAGAAAAATCCCAACAAAAAAGGACAAATTAACTTCATTTAGTATTGATTAAGTTTTATAAGAATTTAAAGCACTCATTCAGAGAATGAGGTCAGTGTCATGAGGTACCTGGGTCCAACATTTTGTAGAAGACAAGTTTTCAGTTCATTAACACCATTAACACCTGCTTATCTGTGTGTTGGGTGTAGTGTTAGCTGGCAAATAGTTCTCTGCATTATATTTGGATGAATTAACTTACAGAGGGGGAGTCAATAAACAACTTTATAAACAAACAAGTGAAGAAAAACATCAAACATTAAACCACATGTTAACGCAAAAGCACACATACAAATTCTTTATGAACAAAACATCAAACTAAGAAAATATTATCAGGGGCCTTTTTACTGTTACATCAACAAATTGCAGCATGCAAGGAAGATAAATGAACATTTAATCATCATTTCAGTAGAAAAGTGAATCCTGACAGCCTTAAATTTCCCACCAAATGTATTGCTGGAGCAAATTAGTTGTATATAAATGTTGATCAGCGGAGACAGGGCTGCTCCTCTGTAATGGGATGGTGGCAGGAGCTTTTGCACGTGATGTGAACATGATGTGGTTTCAATTTTTGTTACCTTTAATCTAAGCTACAAGAAATCGTATCACAGACCAACTACAGTTCAGCGTTTTATAAACTGAAAGGACAATTATTACATATACTTGTTTTCATGAAATTGTATAATAGTACAAAATATTTCTTAAATATGTTACCATCTTTTTATGTATTGTGTTGTCATTTATCTGCTCCTCGAGACTGTTATAAGTAGAAATAGTAATAAAGTAATCGTTTTGAATTGAACTGAATTGAATGAGTTGAATTGAATTGAAATGGGCACCTGTAGACAGTTGTTTTTTTACATTCTATAATGTTAACTTCAGTCAGTTTATTTGCAGCATTGAATAAAAAAAATATACATGCTATAGTTTTATATGATGTCTTTCTTGGAAAAAGCAGTGAAGGAGCTTTCATGTGCCTCTTGATAAAAAAAAAGTTAGTCAACCAGGAGAAAAATGCATTCACATTCATCCTAAAATATTAGTTAATTAGAGCAGAATGGAGATATCACATGCATTAGTATACTTATCAAAGTCAAAAGGCTAAAACATCTGTACCCAACATTATAATTATCTGAAAATCATTAGCATTTCATTTTGTTCATCTGTTTGACTGCGAGTCATTGACTTTGTCTAGCACTTTTGGGCCCTCTCTGCCTCTCAGTGCACTCTAATAAATCTATAAATAGGGTGAAAAATAACCCCAATTTCCAAATGTGATTGTGTTTTTGTAAGGACCCCAGGGTCATTGATGCTCTCCTGATGTAATGAGGCTATCGCCGCAAACAGAACTGAAGATTTGCTAACCGCTAGCAGTCCAATTAGCCGGCCTGCTCTCTTTGAAGAACTTCACAAACACTGTGGGGACTAACAGAGGATGGAGGCTCGCAGGACAATGAGGGACTGCTCATGCAACATTACACAGCTAATACACACTGCACAATGTTAATGCATGCAATGAGCCATTCCCCATTGAAAGTCAATTATACACTGACATTAATGAGGATAATATGTGCAGCGGGGAGGCTCTGTTCTTTGTCTAAACAGGAGAAATAACCATTTATATAGGTCATCATCAGCTATAAGAAGCATTGTTCCCTCTGGATTTGGTTTGAAATACTGTATATTTGCATTCAAACAATAGACGTTATTGTTTCCACACAGATTACTGAAACTACAATTGACAATAGACCACAGCAGCACAGCCAAGGGAGCTGATTAAGTCCAGGATGGGAGCAGCTAGATGCAAAACATATCCCCAAGTGATGATATAAAAATGGGTTTACCTGAAAAACATGGAGTTACTGGACAAAAATGATATGAAGTGCACTCTACCACTGCTAATTTGTAAATAAACGTGGCCGGTGAGACTTGATGTAGTTGAGGTTCTTACAGCTTGTTAGGAGTAAAATAAGTAGAACACTAAATTTGCCAGACTCAAATTAATGATCAAATCTACATTTTTACTGTTAATGCAATTGCAAAAAAAAAACACTCAAAATGTGCATTTTACCAGCTGCTCAGGCTACCTTAGTTGACAGTTATGAATATATGCAGGGATGTACACTCCGCCTTTGGACTGTTGCCCCTGAGACATAATACCTACTTGCTGGGGAGTATTGTGACCTGTTTGCAACCATGCATAAATAATATGCTGTGTATGTAACATTTTGTTTATGCATTACTAACTGCCGTTTCGCTGAGCTCTCGCCAACTAGTCAACTCTAGCCCAGCTTCTTGCTTGGTCTTCCTTTCTTTTTCTCTTCATAGCTTCATCCATTCTCTTCTGTCTCTTAGCATCAGCCATCGTGTCATCGTGTCAAAAAGAACCACGGCGGCTTAAGGCTGAACTAGTTTCGTAAAGCTGTATGCACTTCTTGCAGGATGACCGTGGCCCGCTGCCAAAGTTACATAGTGCTAATAACAGGCGTCCACATTGTGGACATGAGAGAGACACTATTCTCCCTGTTGAAAGACGTGGTTAGATCAGACTTTGAAACTACTATTTTAAGGTGGAAAATGTACATAATATTGCTTTAAGTCCATGAAATAACTGCTTTTCATTGTAAGCACATCACTCGGTCCTTCCTTGGTTTAGTGCAGTCCAGTTAGTATCTGATGTAGGAAGCAGATAAAAAACATAGTTTGATTTTAGATATTTAATAACGTTTGGTCTAAATGTGTTTCGAAGCACTTAATTGTTTAAGGAGTATAAGCAATTTCCTATATAAACTATGGTCATAAGTAAGCATTATCTCTAAATAAGTCTTTGTTCTATGAGTGTTTTGCAGATCAGATGTTTAGATAACTGCACTCACTTTTTATCATAGAAGTGAATGAAAAACTGGTATTTTTGCTGCCACACATTGAGATTTCTTTGACAGTTTGATTTTTAGCTGAAGTCAAATCTGAGAAAACAGAAACTCATGTAATAACATTTGTCAGAACTTAAGTTCAAGGCAGTTTAGTTCTGTGGTAACTCTTTGGTCAGCACAACCTGTTCTTCCTTTTTATTTTGAAAATCTTTTCACAGCACATATTTAATGTGAAGCAGAGAGTGTGAAATCAATAACATTAATATTGGCTACACACTCCACTTTAATGTGTCAGTCAATGTGTCCTACCAATAGCTACACTGTCCCCCCTTTCACACATTACATGACACTTAATTGGTAAGAAGCCATGAATGCTTTGATTTGCATCTTTGCTTTTGCCACTGTTGGGGGTCACATCAATCAAAGCAAACTACTCTTTAGCTTAACAGTGCTGTATGTCTACTGTTACAATAAATATGTAGGTATTTAAGCAGCAAAGACTGCTGTATTGAATTTTTCATTGAGTTTATTTTCTTTTTATGTCCGAAACACCATCCTTAAACATCCTGTCTCCAAGTTTTATGTTTGGAGTTGTATCCCTCATTGAAAATTGTTGCTTTATGTTTTAACATTAAAGTAATGCAGCATTAAATAAATCTTTTATTTGTTCTCCGTGAGAACAAGCTGCTGCTTTAGAACCATTGTAAGTCATTTCTCACTAGGCATATGAAGCTGTATTATTAGAAAAGTCCATCATCTCCATCTTTTGCATTCTCTACTTCTCAGAAAATGTGTGCTCAAACAGGCCGTTTGGAGATTTTCCCTTAATGACATCACATAGGGCAGTAACCCCTCGGCCACTTGGGTGACCCTCCCACAGATAGGTGTTTGTTCTGCCCTCTGAGTCTGCCTTCTCACCGTAGACAATATGGCATGGCGCGAGAAAGCCAGAGCCACATCCCCTTCTAGAGAGGGGCTTGGTAAGACACAGCTCATTTGCATTAAAGCTACAGACACAGAAACAGCCTGTTCTGAACAGGGCTGAAATAGAGGGTTTTATGCATGGTAAAATACAGGATCAGAGTGGATTTATAACAAGAAACTTCACAGATAGGTTTTGTGGAGCTCTGAGACTTATTTAAATTGGTTGAAAAGGACTATAATATGTGACCTGTAAACCAGCCACAAAGTTGTGAAGTTGTATCAACACTTGGCCAAGAAAACAAGGGTTTTCGAGTGTCCCTTTGGAGTTGAGCCCAGCCACTCTTTCTACCTGAAACTTCCTCCCAAATGTATCTATAGGAAAAGTTTCTGGACCAAAAGTTCAGTCAGCACCCATTTGGCTTTATTGAGAGAGACAGTGGGTCGAGTAGAAAATTGGGGAGAGAAAGTGGGGAATGACAGGCGGAAAGGAAAGAAGCCATAGGTCAGACTTGAATCCAGGCAGCCCACTATGAGGACTTTACCGTTCATGGTGCACAAACTAACCGCTAGGCAATCAGCACCCGCAATCTGAAAAAAGATTTTCAGGTGGCAAAGCTTGATACAAGGTTTTAGGGTAAACTTAGATATGCATCTCCCGATCAGGAGGTAAGTCCCGCTCAAAACATCAAACACCAATCAAGCAAATTAAAAGCACCATGAAAGTATTCAATTAAACGCCATATAACGTATTGTCAGGCTGAGTTACTGATAACAAGGTCTTTAAAAGCAATAAGGCAATAGTAATTAAGATTTAACATCAATGTAAAATAGCTTCTGTCAGGATTTCCATTCTATCATATTATCATCTTAATGAGAAAAGATGACTGAAGGCTCATCAGCTCCCAGCCGTCACAGCGGATCACACAGAAATTAATGTCCCGTCATTCATTTGGGTTGCTGTGAAAAGACCGTCAAGCTAATCAGCTCAGACAGGATGCATCACGTCGAGGTTTGACGATATGAGCAGATTAAAACTGGATTAAAATCCTCCTGAGGTTAGGGAAAGCAAACATGGAACAGCTTGACAGTCACAGAAGCCTAAAGGAGTGCAGTGCCTGGTACTTTACATATACCCCATCTAATTAACATGAAATAGTTCATAACTCTTAATTAAATCAGGTGTTATAAGAGGAAAATCCTGCCTGTCTGAGTGAAAGGATACGGATAGTTGTATCTAGCAACCTAACAGCTGTCATTAAAGATTAAAGGGAGTTGAAATGTTAGGATGACGTTAACAAACCTAAATTGACACAACATATCTGACACCACAGTAAAACCCAGAGACTGTATAAAACATGGACGATTGGACAAAGTCTAATCGACACCAAATGATTGCACTCTTCCCATTGGAAAGGTAGAATCTCCACCTAACTTTCGATCAAAGTATAAAAAAGAGGTGAAGTTGAGGTGGGCCTTAAGCCTGCTGAACAGCTACAACGTGTCAACCTGTCAGTCAAATCAGCCACAACCCTTTTTATGCAGGGTCGTGGCTGATCTGTAACAAAGATCAGTCACAACCTCACCCAACCTGCAACAGGCGGCTCAGAGATCAGTTAAAGAACCTGAGTTCATTCTTCAGTGCACCAAAGGACTTCTCAAAATATATGAACAAGACCAAAGGAGGACGAACCTCGCAGTTGTGGCAGCTCAGAACAGCCAGCTGCTGGTCGAAAAGTTTGAAAAGACACACTTAAGAAACCATTGTAGAACATCAAGCAGCAGCTTTTGGAGAGAACCCCCAAAGACCTGATAGCTGTACATTAGTAACCACATATTGAACCACTTGTTAAAATGTGTTTACACAGAAAAAAAAAAAATCAACAAATAGAAAAATCAAATTTGCACACTGCAGTTCAACTGTTCATTGTAATTCAAATTCTGCATTTAAATTACTTAGTAGTGTGTGAATAATCTCCACAAGAACATCATTCTAAATTATCACAACATTATTTTTGCAATTTTTATTCAGCGTAGATTCACCACAGATAATAGCTGTTGACATCTTAAGCAGACAAACTGAAGAAGCCTTCAGAATGAGAGAAATGAGAGGCTGAACATTTTCATTAATTTAGCAATATTGGGGTAAAGTGTCTTGCCCCAGGATACATCGGACATGTTGCTTCAGGAAATGGGGATCGAACTCCCAACCGGTTGAGAGACGACTGACTCTACTAACTGAGCCAACAGCACAACAGCAAAGTGAAGTGACAATAGTCTAAAAATATATTTCAATCCATATGCTGCATTCAACATTTTGTTATGAACAAATTACAGATATTAACGGATATTGCCAATGTGACAATAAATTTAAATGTAAACACTGAAATGAGACCTTTCCTATTTTCTGAATTGCCCACGAGATCCTATACTGGTTTCTATGTGAAGAACACTGAGCGGTTTTATAGGGAATAGCAAAAGGGGGGCGGCAGTAGCTCAGTCCGTAGGGACTTGGGCTGGGAACCGGAGGGTTGCCAATTCAAGTTGGTCTGGTAGCTGGAGAGGTGCCAGAGCACTTCCTGAGCACTGCCGAGGTGCCCTTGAGCAAGACACCGAACCCCCAACTGCTCTGGTGCGCTCTCTGCTTAGCAGCTTGTAGCTGCCCCACTCTGACATCCCTCTACCAATGCATGTCCACAGGTCCTGTTTTTGCATGTGTGTGAGAAGCATGTCCCTATAAATAACAGAGTGTAAACCGAATTTCCCTCAGGCATTAATAAAGGATATCAAAAAAATAGATAAACTTTCCTCTCTTTAGCTTTGCTACTACACCAACAGCACTTGCTGATGCCACCAAACAATCAGAACTTGATGAAAAATAGTGGAACATGAAGCACAAGCTGACGTAAAGACAAAACTATGATCATATGAGCACAGCAATCCACAACAATTATGGGGGGACCTTTGTCCGTTTTGTTAGCCCACATTATCCTGCCTGCTAACACAAATAAATTGCTGGCTAGCTGTAGTAGTACAGTCTTAAAACCTCCTGCTAACACTGTAATTCTAACACTTACACAAACATAGTACTTGTTAATGTAAAAGGCCATTCATCTCCTCGCAGCAGTTGTTTTCCCTTTCTGCTCTGCTTTGTGAAAATGTAGCTGTATGCTGAGGCCCCCCACCTCCTGCTGTGAGCAAGAGGCCTACAACCAGTGTGGGGTCATCTGGATCAATTATTGTTAATCTATTCTAGGTCAAATATAGGCTACATCCGCCCACCCAACCCCCTACATCAAACTGTACACACTTCCTGATACTCATCCATGCATAAGTGAAGGAAGGACTGTGTTCAGATTACAGCTCAGTAAATAAAGGGGTCAAAAACAACATCATGTTGTTTGCGTATAACCTGCTATTTCCTCTTGCTTTTACAGCATTAAGAATTAAATCAATGTAGTTGGGATCCAAGTTGGAGGCTGATTAACTTACTAACTAACTAGTAATTGAAATCTGCAACAGATATGTTTAGAGCTGAAGCTTGGAACAGCGAACCGAGAAGTCAAAAGTTTGACATGCCTATCACAAGTTCCTCAGACAACTACATTTTTAAAACGGCATTTATTCTCTCTCCCTCAGTTCACATTAGTTAACATTCGGGAATAAGGGTTGCAACACATTATATATTAAAAACCCATTTATGTATTCAATACATAAGTCATGTGTTTTTCTCAAATGTGAAAATAAGGAAAACACTTCCTCATATTTTTGGAGACCAAGGCAATGACTTCAAACTGGTCAAACGTATTTAGCTACTCACATCTTTTTGCAGCTTATCTTTGAAACTCTGAATCTAAATAATGCCCAGCCATCTTGCCAGGAAAATTAATTAAAAGATGATCAACATAATTTTCCCACTCAATATGGGAGTTTCCTGCTAAGTGTGTGAGAGCAGATTTGTATTAGGAAAATTTTACCAGACTGTTGTAAAAACATTATTATTTAATTAAAGTAGAGACATAAGTGGATTCTCCATGGGATTTGTTATATTATTATGCAGGGTCAGAATGAGGAGAACGTCTATATAAGACAGACAGGAAAAACATGGGAGCCACAGGAGAGAGAGCTCTGCTGGGATCTGAGCCAGACACCGAGGCAGGCCGACGGGGAAACACAGCTGAATCCTCAAGTGTGGTTCAAACCTCTGTGGGCACAAACACCCCTCATGCATTTCTGGGACATTTTATCTTCCCTTCTGCATTGTACTGATGCACTGCTCAAGTCTGCAGCAGTCTGATGCATGGGGCTGTCAGTGCTGGATCATGTGATGATTTTGATGCAAGAGAAAACTGATGGATTTAAAACTACACTCTCCATCAAAGACACTTCTGAGAGTTTGCCTGAAGAAAACTTGCATTTGATATCCTGCCATTTTCAGAGTAAAGCAGCTGAGTCTGAGCTGATGGCTGAAGCTTGAAGTTCTTTCTTAAGTCTGATATCTGTCCTCCACATTCCCAAACAAAAGCTCTGCAAATACAGCCAATAAAGAGGAAGGCACACAGCTACACTCCACCCTCATGATAAATTAATCAAGGTGAAGCTTTTCAAAGAATTTGGAGGTTATCGGTGCACATACAGGACAATAGGTCTGATGAAATGTCCAACTAAGCCAAACAGCTCACCTTCTTTCCCCTCCAGCATATGTCTCTTTTGCAGAGCGTGCATGCTCTTTATCAGCTCCCCACTCACACAGATGTAATAGTTCTCTCAAGGCCAGGAAAATATTACAACAATATTGGGCTCCAGCCTGCAGCAGAGATCACAAACAGAGGATCTTCTATGATAGCTCCATCTGGACGAGTCGGAAGACAAACCATATGAGTTTCTACATGGAGGCTTTAATACACTCTGACCTGCGTGGCTTCATTCACAACGGGCCTTCATGCTAAGATTCAGTACACTTCATAACCTCCATAGAATAGAAATCACATCTAATATAGATACAAACTGAGAG